CGATCACAACTAAGAATTGCTTAATAATGAATACAAAAATAGTTTATCTTAGTGCAGTACAATCAAACATTGGTTTCAATAAAGGGTATGTGTTATAGTACAGCACAATCTAAACATGTAAATTTGAGCCATTGAGTGCTGTACTGTTTGTAATATACCTTCGATTACAGATTGTTGTAGTGTATTGACTTTTAAACAGTGATGTATGTTATAGCAATTCTATTTATTATACTTAAAGGATACTTGCACGATTTTACCTGTCATAATATGTGGTCAGTAATAATTTCGCACACAATCATTAGAAATACTAATAATCAATATATTTCCAATCCTTAATGCATACCATAAACTTTAACTATTTAACTCCAGTAAATTGATATTAAGAGGGTTCGATGCTATAACTTATTCAGTGGATCGAAAAAATTATTAATTTTATAATTTTTATTGCATAAATACATGAGGAATCGAAGTTATCGAAGTTTACTTTTTAATTAAAGTACTACGAAATGTTCAATATTGACTCTAATAAAAGATTCTCTCCTTTATTAATAAATTGATTATTAGTCAACCTTATGATTGAATATTACCACATTATTAGCATTATAAGGCATTTGTGACTTATATAGCGAACCTGTCATATACTCTAGGCTTAAATCGAAGACCCAAATTCGTCTCATCTTAATACATATATTTTCTCCCTAAGACAATTTGATAATAGTTTTAAAGTTTTAGTTAGATTTCCCCACTCACATCGTAAACAAAAGAATGAAAAAAAAAGATACAAAATTGACAAAAAAAAAATAAAATAAAATAAAACAAAGTGAAAAAAAAATGTTCAATGCTTAATAACTCATTAACAAGTGCTGGAACAATCATAGAAAAAAAATCAAGCTTTGCTTTTGCATTGTTTAAGAACTATCTAGACAACAAATCTTGTTACATGAATAGTTGGATTTTACTGATTATTTCTTGTCATTACTAATATATTGCTAGCAAATATTTTATATAACCTACTTACAAAAAAAAAGCACATGCTTTGTTTATAAACTTAAAAACTTCCTTACTGGAAAATCTTTCATTATTCCATATTTAGTTGGAATTTTAAATCTAAAGTGATCTTATTACACTTCCTAATCGCTTTCCTAGTATCTTGATCGCGTTGCTTTGCAATTATAATATTTCTAACTGCTTGATGCATGAAGGCTCCAAGCTTTATACCTATTTCTGGTTGTTTATTTAATTCCGGCAAGTCGGTAGCGTTTAGGTGCAATTGTAAAATTTCTTTCTATATACTTTCATTTATAAACTCGCATATTTCATTCATTAAAGGCTCCTCTTCCCTAAAATTTAATTAATAATAATCTCTTTACTAAATTATTATTAATTTGTTACGATTTCAGATAATGTATACTAAAGTAATAATTACCAGCTGTGGATTTTTGAAAAATCATCCACAAGATTTAAAATTGCTGCATGAAAGTTGTGCCAATATACGTTATACCAATTCTCCATAGCTTTGACTACCGTAGACATTCTATAGTCACATTTTTGAATTTTACATACTCTAATGACCAATTTTCGATACAGTGTTAGAGTGTTATTTCTTGTTCTAAGAAACATTGCTTTGCACTCTTCTTGAAGATAAAACTTAGTGCGCTAATGAAATATATTACACGAATTTTCTGAAGGCCATCTTCCCGACAGGCCATTTAACTGATATCACGCTGCGTGAAATTCACTAACAACATATAACCGCAACTAATAAAATGCTAAATTATAATGCTGTGCGATATAGGTTAGATGACCTGTCGGGAAAATGATTGTCAGGAAATTGAGAAAATCAGCAATATTGAATGAAATATATTTATAAATCTATATATACAATAATTGTTAAAAGATATAAAGTTTACCTTACTAATCTCTAAATGATCTGGTATTAAATTGTATGAATCAATGGTCTTCGGGTGCATTTCATCTAAGATTTCAGCTTTTCTTGCATTAAAGATATTATTGGCCAAATTTAGAACCCTTGGATGAAAAGCTACCCATGAGGCAACTTCAAATTCGTTTGATGCATTTTTGAGCTTTGTAAAGGGTTCTTGGGGTAAATCACTATCTATTAAGAAATGTAAATTTTTATATATACTAATATTGGTTTATATTTAAAAAAAATCCTTACCATTATTTGAGTGCGAATTTGCTGTGGCTGTATATGGCGTATTCTTTGTTACATTCTTTTCTATAGACCTTGAATATAAGGATAGCATCATCGCAGGATCCCTGTTTGTAGATTTTAAAGGTATAAAATTCACTGATGCCAACTCATTATGAGAATCAAAATTGTCAACTAAATAAGGGTAAATTAAATATAAAACATTAGATTAAATTTAAAAAATTACCTAAATCACACATTTAATACATACCCGATGCCTCTGCATAACTATTATCTTCTTCTAAATCATCATCTCTTAAATAATCCTCCCTTAAATCATCCTCTCCTAAATTATCCTCCCTTAAACCATGCTCACTTAAAACATCCTCCCTTAAACCATGCTCACTTAAAACATCCTTCCTTAAACCATATTCTCTTAAACCATCTTCTTCTAAATTATCCTCTCTTAATCATCCTCTTCCTCGTCCATAATTTCTTCAATTACGTTTTCAATTCTTTGTTCTTCGTCATTTGTTTCGTACTCAAAATCTAGTGATATCAAGAAAAGCATTATATATCAGTAGTATATATTTATTTTTTACGCTTACTTGTAATGAGTATATTAAAAAATAACATACTAATAGAAGTACACCGAGTTTTAATGGGTGATACTCTTCTAACAGGAACTGCTTCCCTAACAGGAGCTGCTTTCCTAACAGGAGCTGCTTTTCTAATGGGAGCTGGTATCTTAACGGAAGTTGCTTCTTTGATGGAAGTTGTTTTTCTAATGTGGCTGCCTTTCTAGGCAGTGCTTGCGTGTCACAAACTTTCTCTCTCGTATTTCCTGTAAAAAAAAATTTTGTTTATTATACTTAATAAAGAACTAAGAGAAATTTAAAAATATTAATTTACTTGTAGATTTTCTTTTAGGGGCCATCATAATTTAGTAACAAAATGTCTTGCAAAAAAATAGTGTATATATACACTATTAGTCGTATTAGCATATTTTGATAATATTATACATAATATTATTACGTGTTAAATTTTTCTAGCTAATTAGATTATATCACTTACATTTATACTTTTGAAATAAATGTTTAGCAAATACCATAAAAAAAAATAATCTTTACTTAGTCTACCTATGAAACGATCAAATAGAACTTCCAATCCCTCTTGCTGTCTTGATGTTCTAATGTTATACAAAAGAACAAAAAAATCGCAAGAAATAAATATACCAAATTTTGCGGACGTGGAATTTTTTGAAGAAACTGGCGAAATTGAAATTGATGGTAAAACTGATGAGGAAATAGACCAAATTGAAGAAATTGGCAATGAGGTTGATATTGAAGAAATTGATGATAATGCTGAAGGTGAAATTCAAGAAACTAGAGTAGACGAGGTTAGAATGTTTTTTTACTTCTTTTTTTCAATCCATAGTTTATAGTTTTTAAATGTTACAATTTTTTTTACATTGTTTTAAAGGAATTGGAATATGTTGATTTAAACATGCACTTTACAGATGCTATACACGATGTACCATTAATTGACGACATTGAAGAAGACCCAATAAATGACGAAATTCTAGAAGAAACGTTCTCAGAATTTGAAGGTTTTGATGGAGAGTATGGACCATACTTTCCAAATTTTACGTCTGCAGCCTTGTATGTTTGGAGTATGAAGCATATGATATGTAAGTAATATTTCTGTATTAGAAAGTCTGTGTAGTTGTACCTGAAATTGGAGTTGTTTCAATTCAGAATCACCGCCCCAGATGGGAATTTTGTAAATTTTTTTTGTGGAATTAGAGCTTTAGGATTAGAATTAAACTAAATTAGGGTCTATAATAAAAAAAAAATTATTTCATATAGTATGGAAAATAAAATAAAAAAAGATTCTCACTGAGACTGTCCCAATTCAGGATTGGGACGATTCTTATCTAATTCTTATCTGGGTACATTATCATTATGTCCAGCAACTGTCGCATATGAAGACCTAGCCAAAATTATTACCCATCCTAAATTTTGCAAGAATGATATTATCAAGAATATTAGACGTATGCGTAAGTGGAGATATAGGTTACTTCTACTTACAGTATGTCAACACAATGTATTATTTGTTCTCAAAAGGCACCATCTGTACTTACATCTACAAAGAAAGCATTTACAATATCTCCATTAGTATATTTGGAGCGTATATTAAACAATCTGGCAATTACGCCCAAATTATACTTCGGACCTAGCATAATTAAAAATGAAAAAAGTGAATTCTGGCATGGGAGTCTCTGGCAGGAGTCTACACTTTTTGGATCACATGAAATAAGAAGCAATAGTAGAGGTTAGTATTAGAAAGCCTATAAGATTTAATATTTTACATATTTATAAAACACATCTATGGTACTTTATACTCCAAAATCGGTTAATTGATATGATGCTCCAAATAAAAATATTTGCACCTTCAAAAATTTTTCCTAAATCTTTAATTCTAAATTCTATCCTTAATATGAAAAAAAGTATAATGAAACAAATAAAAGGTGCAAAATTACCATAGTGTGTTTATCATAAATAAAATATTTTCACATATTAATTTTAAGGTTTTTATTATTGTTTCTGAATTAGCAATATGATAATTAAAATTGTGAATCTTATATTACGTACAATAGCAGATTTACAGAATTCACAATTTTCTATTATCATGTTACTAATTTCAGAAGCAATAATAAATAATTTGTAATAATTAGAAATATATAGTGTAGGTGGTTTTTTTTTATACAAAGAACTATCTACGAAATTTATATGCCGCATACACGGCATAGTAAATAACGAAATAGATAGTTCTTGTATATTAAAAATTGACTGACTGTTGCAACACCAGAATCTTCCTAATTGTCAATATACTAGTTTCTGACATATCTGAGGAAATAATAAAGAATTATGGCTTGTTAAAGGTGACTCTGTATTTGTTAATCCCAAAAATATTTTTCAACGTGTCAATATGTGGTTTTCAGATTTACCAGAACCAGACAACTATAATTTTTATGTTCAAGAAGTTGTATACCGTTTTGGTGATCATTGGAAGTACCATAACATTTCAACAAGATATAGATTACCTTGTGAATCAGTTATATTTAAAACACCACCACAACCCATACCTGTATATAAGGTTTTTCTTGATATATATATCGACGATTTTGAAACATATAGAAATGTTTATCACTCATTAGGAGGGATATATTTACAATTTGGAAATATGCCTCTATCTTTAAGGAAACAACTTAAAAACTATTTTCTGATTGGGCTAGTCCCGTTTGGTGCTAATCTTAATGATGTTATCCAACCAATACTTAATGATATCCAACTTTAGAAAATAGATTTGTAATGCAAACATTATATGGGAATATATGGGTTGTTGGTGGTCTTGGATGTATCACCGCAGATCTGCCTCAGGGCAACGATCTTGCTGGTGTTAAACGCCATAATGCTATTTATAGTTGTAGGTCATGCAATATTTCTAGTGATCATCTTATGGATCTAAACTATAATTACATAGCAAATGCCCATTCTCACTATCAAACTAAAAAATGATTATTAGAAATTGAGTGTCAACAAACACAAATAGGGAAAGAACAGCTAGCTACTAAATATAGGTTAATAGTTTCTCTCAGACCTTTTAGTATTATCCAGTGGGATCAACATATACAGTCTCCGCAAAACATATATCATTCTATGGGAGGAAAGGCTCGAACTTTGCTAAACGCTACACTTAATATACTCAATGCTAATGGCGAGAAAGCCTTTATAGAATATTGGAAAACTATTGAAAAGCCTAGTGGTTGGGGCAGAATGCCTAATCCAATAAGGCATCGTCAAAGCTTTATGTTTTCCAATGTTCTAAGACTCTCAATGCTGATGCCATTTATACTTAGGCGTTTCTTAAACTCCAATTATATAAAAAAAGAGGTTTTAAAAAATTAAAACAAACTAAGCAATTTAGTATCCTTTGGGCTGTTGAGGCAAAAGTTCTTAAACTTGCATTTTCAACGATAATGACAGAAATTGCCTATGAAGAATTACAAGAATTATTAAGAAAAGAACATAAGATGCTCATTCAGGTTTGTTTTATTGTATTCTTATTGCAATCAACTTTATTAATATTTTTGTAGCTGCAAGCTTTTCTCGTGATAATTTAGATGTATGTACGTACATACGTAGCTGAAGGATCAAAATCAATATTACCAACCCGTTTTTACTTTCTTTACTTGAAGGTTAGCTAAAGTAGAGCTTGGGTTAGAGTTGCTTTTTTGATATTAATAGTTACTATGTATTTAGTAATTAATGTAAAAAATGAGTCAGTAATATTGGTCTACTTTAGGTACGCATATATCTGAAATTGCATCTAATCAAAATTAGTATTAGCATTTAGCATTAGTGTTAGGTTTCACATAATTAGAAAACTATGGTCAGATGCAATTTCATATATGTATGTATCAGTATGTATGTACGTACGTACGTATCTGGTATTTTTGTACGTATAATAAAAATAATTATTTTGTTAACCCGTTTAATTTTTACTAAAAATAGATATTTCCGGAACATTTTATCAACTTGTCTAACCTGCACGTGAATGTTCATCTGTTGCAAAATGCGCAAAATTTTGCAACATTGACAAACACTGCGGTTGGTGTTAAGGAAATGGTTCACGAATCTTTAAAGGCATGGTTTCACATACCAATAAAAAAATTGTCAAATTGGAACTTACACGGCAGTATAACACAATTGAAGCATTAAGGCTAATAATGGATGGTTGGAAAGATCCTCGCTTTAGTGTTAGCACTAAAGCATTTCCTGATCTTACTCAGGATCCGCATCTTTATAAAATTTTATCCAATTGGTATATTACTGAAAGCCTGTTGCTGAATGAAGAAAATGAAAATCATGGTAAGTAAATTTAAGTTTTTACTATATAACCTTAAAATAATGGGATGTGCATTACAGTAAAAGCTTCATATGTACCCGCATGTAGAAAAAAAATCTTGCGCACATTTTTTTTAAATAGATGTGCAGATGCTGCACAGAAGAAATTAAAATCTTGTAAATCGTGCACTCAAACAGTTGCTCTTTGCTACATGAAAAAATTTGCAAATTATGCAGTATCTGCACAATAAGTTCTATTTGAAAAATTAACGCTGCTCTCAGGTATTTCAATAATATGCACCTCAAATAGGAGAAGACGTAACTGATCCAAATTGTGAGGAGTTATATTTGTAACATTGGCGGTTAAGTGCACACCAGGTGTGGAATTAAGTTTGAATCAGGTATGTTTCCTCCTGTTCGCACTTAACATTGTTATGCTTGAAGTAACATTTGCCTAAAGTTGCATCTGCTTGACATTACTAACTAAAAGTATGCAAAAATCCAGATTTTAACTTTTACAATATCATGCTTGTAAGTGTAGGTGATCAAAATACAAAGATGGCCATTATTTTAAGGTTATATAGTAATGGCATTTTAGTTTATTATATCAATATTAATTCGAGTTAGAGTATGAAGTCGGATTTATTTTTTATATTTTAAATCTATATTCTTAAGATATAGAGCGGTTCACTTGTCATAATAAGAATTTTATTAATATCATACCTAAAAACCAGTGGAATCGTAAAAAATTAGAGAATATGAGTTTATCCGATATATCCTCGCTTTTCCAAGATCTTTATCAGTCATATGTAAAACACCTTGGACTGAAAAATGCATTCTTAAATAAAAAGCTTGTGTTTTATAATTATATTACATATACTGT